AGCTGGATCATTCTGTGTTTCTCATCCTTTGTATAGGTTTAACGGTATCCTTTTCCCATTTCAGGGGAAATCCTTTCTCCTTTGAAGATTCTTGAAGATACTTAGGCTATGTCTTCCGGCATGGAATTTAGTATTTTCAAAACAAACAAAAAAATTCTTAGACCACTCTTTCTGCCCTTCTCTTTTCTGTTTCTGGGTCAATAAATACCTAGCCAAAAACCATCTGAGAGTAGGGAAGCAAGAGAGAGGCAATAGCAGGAAGTATGGGGAGATGCAAGATGCAGATGTCATTTATATTGCAAATAATATCACAAGGTTTCATAAGTAGATTGATATTTCAAAATGGTAATGCATGAAGTCCCCATCCCCCCTTGCCATCTCAAGCTATGAAGAGGCAGAGTCCATTGGCGAACAACTTAGTTTGTCTCAGAGAAGTGTGATACTAATTAAGCCTTAGAAATTATGATATGCCATGCTTCCTACTAGCTTGGAATTTAGCTCTCAGTCTTAGCTATTTGTTCTTATGTATGCATGGCAAAGTTATATAATAATTTGTTTTCATCATTTTTAAGGTTATGCCCAAGAAAAAATAATTTTCTAAATTGCATTAGGTTTCTAGGAGTAGGCATCTATCCTAGAGATTAAGACGCCTACAGTTTGGGGATGGTATGATAGTTCAGTAGGTTAATATTCCACTCTGTGACAAAGGCATCCCATGTGGGCACTGGCTTGTGCCCCAGTTGTTCTATCTCCTATCCAGCTCCCTGCTTCTGGCCTGGGAAGGCAGTGGAAGATGGCCTGAGTCTTGGGTCTCCTGCGCCTTAGGACTGGAGCAGCTGAGACTCTGCCATCCAGTAGCCACACTGCCAGCTCACTGTTCCAGCACAGCGCCCTCGCTGCCCCTCTCTCCCCTGCCCCATGTGGCACTTCCACTGGGAGCACACTTCTGAGCACTCCAGGACACCTTCTGCTCCGTGGCAGAAAGCTGCTCACGTTGTCCCCAGACTCAACCTTGCTCACAGGCATTCTGTGTGCTCGCTTGCTTTTTGTAATGGCAACGAGAGTGACCAAGAGTGTGGAGGGGCCGAGCCTCCTTAGACTTGAGTATTTGTTGTGAGTACAACCTCCAAAGTTCTCCCAACCACGCTTTCCTATGATGCTCTTAAATAATAATGACAGCCACCCCCCAGCTTCTGATCTAGCTACCTGCTAATGTGCACACTGGGAAGCAGCAGATGATGGCTCCTGTATGTGTGTCCCTGCCATTTACATGGGAGACTATGCACCGCCTTCTAGCCTCCCAGCTAGAAGGTCGGTCAAGCCCTGCTCTTGCTGTTATTCGTGGATTAAACAAACAATGGATGGAAGATTTCTCTCTGTCTAGGCTTTTGCTTTTCAAATAAAACAAAAATAAATTTTTTAATGATTAGGATTTGTCTGCACTTATGAGGACTGAATCCTTTACCAGAGGGTAAAGTAGGATACGTAAAAGAAGAATTTCTAGCAAAACAAACTAAAGGAATGTTTGGATTTTCTGTTTACCATCTGATGATGCCACTGAATGAGCTCCAACCATGAAAACTGAAACTACCCTAAGTATTCAATAGAGGGAGGAATTATATCAAGTAATTAAAATTGACAACAGGAGAGCTCAGAAATCACAAAGGGAACTGTGATTTTCAGGAGAATAATGCCACTACCTCTCCTCCGATGGAAAAGCAAGCGGATGTGTTCCTAGGGTCAGGGGTCATTTGGCAGGCGCAGGAGTGTGATAGAGAATGTCCCAGCTCTTCCCATCTTCTCATTTTCCACTTTCCTGCTCAAGCTTCCCATTGAACAAACCTAGCTGGCAGCCAGGTCATAAGGAAGTCTTAAAAGTGTGGGGACTGGGGCCTGGCATGATGGCTCCATGACTCAATCCTTGCCTTGTACACTGTGGGATCTCATAAGGGTTTCATGTCCTGGCTGCTCCACTTCCCATCTAGCTTCCTAATGGCCTGCAAAAGCAGTTGAGGAGGGCCCAAGGCCTTGGGGCACGTGTGCACCTGCATGGAGACCCAAAAGCAGCTCCTGGCTCTTGGTTTTTGGATTGGCTTAGCTCTGACCATTGAGGACACTTGGAAAAATCTTTGTCTCTCCTTCTCCCTGTAGAACTGCCTTTCCAATAAAAATTTGAAAAATATATAAGAAAAAGAAAAAATAAGAAGATTGGTGACCTTGTGAGCTAGGCCAGAGGAGGGGAAAGAAGGGTCAGGCCCAGGATTCTCCACCCTCACACAGGGTTTTTGTTGTTGTTGTTGTTTAAGTTCAGCAATTACAAATCCTGGTATCAATAATTTATACTGACCAACAAAGTTATCATTTGGCCGTGAGAGATCAGCCTTTACATTAGGACTTTTATCAGAAGCCTTGCATATGGAGCTCTGTCCATATTACGAACTGAGGCAGAGAGACCTGCCATTCTGCTGTGCTTGCTTTTAAGAATTCTGCCTCCCTGGATTTCTTAACCTTTTAAATCAAGAAAGCTAGGTTTGTATCTTGGCTCATGCCTTCCCTTTCATTTGAAATACTGAGAATCTCTCGTCACTTTGCTGGCGAGCCGTCTATTTATCCATCTGAAGGCTGCTGAGATTTGCTTATACCAGAATTTCAATGATATTTTCCAAAATTAATTTCCATTTCAAGCACCAAAAACCAGACTGCACAGGACATGGCAAATATTTGTGCTCATTCCTTTGAAGCCTTAACCTGACTGCCATCACTCTCTAAATATAGATCAGGATTAACTGAGTAATAAGGCAGGAGTTTCTCTAATAAATTCCTCCTTGCTGTTACTGCAGAGGAGCCTTTCAAAGGATTTAACCTCAGGTAGACGGGAACTTTGGAAATATTGGGAAATGTCCACATTCTGAAACAGTCACACGTTTGAAAATCATAACAAGCTTTGTGCTATCATGGAGAGCCAAATAAAAGACTTTCCATATTTCCAGCCAGTCTCCTATTTCATAAATTTCAGCATCCGTTTCTGTTTTTACGAAAACTGGTTGTTTCACCAAAATTTCTACTTATCATAGAAGTGCGCTTTTTTTTTTAATATCACTCCCTCTAAAGCAAGACTCGTTTCAAATTTATCCAGTATAGGCTACTTATCATTCAATTTTTACGGGCAGGGATAATGGAGCACTGAACTCATGTGCAACAAGGAAAAGAACTGAAAGAACTTTAAAACTGTATGAGAAACTGAACGTTTCAGAAAAACAGCAGGGTAAGAAAATCCCTCTCTGTAAGAAACCAAAGAACCGCAAGTCACAGCTAAATAGGAGATATCAAACATTCTATGGAAAAAAAGAGACAGATGTGTTTTTAGAACTGGAAAAACACTGGTTCACTCTTAGTTGTGATCACACTTTGGGGGTGTCTACGTGAAGCAAATGTTTTGGCTCTAAACTTGTTTCTGTCACTTTTACAAGTTCTGTCTTCACCAACCTCAAGGCAGAGGAGGGAGTCAGGCATGTTCTGACTCAGGAAGGGCAGTCAAGAGGCCATCCCTTGTCTCAGGGACACCACTGGCTGGTAGACAATGTGCTGGCATTTGGCTACCCACAATTCACTTACTGAGGGAGGGGAATGGACTGCAGAAATGGGCCCAAAGTAATAGCAGGCTATAAATGCATCTGCAGTTGTGTGAATCTTTCCCCTTAAAGTAATTGCAACGGTATGGTTCAAGTCCCCCCCATCCCCTTCTGTTTCAGACTGGCTCTATGTACTTTTGATGAGGGGGTGAAAACACTAATACAAAAGACAGAATTATTCTAAACTGGTCCTTTTCCAGTGAAACGCTGAGTGTTCATTTTGTTTGAGCTAACTTTACACCTTAACCCATCTGCATCCTACACTGCCACTGTGACGGAGGGACCACCTCATTTTCAGGACCCGGAGGGCAAGGCAGACAGGGGTTGTGAATTGTGCAGGGTGGACAGAACCACACAATGAAGACAGCAAGCTGGGATTTCCTGGTCTTTGAACTCCCAGCTCAGGGCATGTCCTTTGTAGTTTTAACTTACTGAATCCCTTGCCAGCCCACGTCAACGCTTTGTTTGCACCTGCACACTATTTTATTTATGCCTCAGAAAGTGTGGAGTTCACTGATCTGAGACCTGTCACTCAGGAAAAATTTGTCCTCTGCGTGTGTTCTTTGGTGATCTGAAAAAGACCACCTCCAGTTGTGTTTGGGCACTGCCTGGGGAAAGACAAATGTGCCGGCCTGAGTAGGAAGCTGGCAATGCAAGTCTACACCTACACACACTATGTGGATCACAGACATGCGACCCTTTAAAAGTGGCAGCCTTGATTTAACAGTACAGAACACCGGAAGAATGTGGACTTTGAGAGAACTCAAGTAGGATGTGTTCAATGCCCATGGTGTGCTTGCACAAGGCATCTTCACGTACTCCAGGCTGCCGAGTTAACACAGGAACCTCAGTCCGGCCCCACGGAAGGCGCGAGCATGCCGTACGATGCAGATGGAAGTTGTGTGGGTTTGTCTTAAAACGCAGACTTAACGCTGCTAAAGCTACACCGACCTGTACTAGCATGGGTGGAGGGAAGCGGAGGAGGCGTCAAGATGTGTTAATTCAACTTGGGAGGAACACAGCGACCCCGCGGCTAACTCGTCGCCAACTTTCCTCCCCGCGGCGCCCGGGGAGCGTGCTCGGTGGCGACCCGGCCACCCGCGAGCCCCGCTCGGCTCAGGGCGGCCCCGGGCGGGGCGGGCGCAGAGCGGCTTCCGACCAGGGCGGCTTTATTGTTTCCTTTCGCCCTCCTCCTCCTCCCGCGCTCGGCCGCGGCGTCACTGGAAAGGCGTCCAAGCCGCCCGGCGGCGGGTTATTTATAGAGCGGGCTGCGCGCGCGTCACGGAGCCCTGCCCGGCTGACGGGGCCGCTGACGCGCTTGGCCGCGGGGCCGAGTCCGCGGGGCTGCGCGCCGGGCGCGGGCCACAATGGGCTTCTGTGTGTGCAGCTGCCACCGCCGGAGGCCGGGGGAGGGGACCGGCCGGCCGCCCCCGGAGCCCCCTCCCTCGCAGCTGGGATCCCCGAAAGGGAGCGGGCAGCTTGGCCCCCTCCCCGCATCACCGGCACCCCCTACCCCTGGCCAGGACCCGGGCCACGCGGGCTTTGATCCGCACCCCCACCCCCGCCCGCCTTCCCTTCTTTAATCAGTAAGTTCTTGTCCCAGCCTCCGCTTCCCGACGTCCCCGAGTTCCTCTCGCTTTCCCCTAGTCCCAAACGTGACCAGAGTAGGGGAATCCATCCGGCCCGGGGCGACCACTTTGGAGCGCCCCGAGGAGCGGGACCCGCACCAGGCGCGCCCAGCGGGGGATGCGGTGACCAGGGGCCGGGAGCACCGGGCAGGTAACGTATCCTGGACCGGGACCGGGACCGGGAGCAGGGGCTTTGTGGGGCTGGGGGAGGGGCGCGGGGCGGGCGCAGACGCCGGGCAGCCCTTCCGGGACTCCCCTCCTCCCCTCCGCGCGCTGCAGGCCGGGCTGGGTGTGTAGCACCGGGAGCGAAAGAGAAACTTTTTGCTCGGTGACTGACTGGAGGAGGCTCCTCCCGAGGGGCCGAGATACTAGGGACCCCGCGCCCGCCTCCCGCCGCGCCTCCCAGTCCACTCCCTCTTCCCGTCCCCACCCGCGCCCCCGCCCCTAGCCCTTTCAGATTCTGGACGCCCCCGCCCTGCGGAAGAAGGGACTGGCGAGGATTTGGGGGACTTTTCTTTTGGGATCCGGAGACCCGCTCTGAACCCCTCCCCTCTTTGCTGCCGCCAGTTGGGGGTGGGGGAGAAGCTTTCTCTGAAGCCCCTCTCACGTGGAAGGCAAGCCGAGAACTTGCTGTGCCTTCTAGGAAATTACAATCGATTTGTAATGCTCTTTCGCTAATTGGGAGTTCAAAATTAAACTTTAATAAAGCATTTGTGTCGTCTCGTCTAATTGTGAAAGCTTCCATTCGTCCTGGTAGATAGACTCTTTAAGTCTCAAGTTAATGGCGCTAAACTAGATTTCCCCCCCAAGTACAATTCCGTCAGCCGGCGTCGGCGCAGCTGGATTTCCGTAAGGTACAGATGTTGCTAATGGCAGCTTAAGCACGGATGGGCAGAGAGCATACGGAATGCAACATGTTGCCATATGGTTCCTTTAGCCTTTCACCTCCAGGGATATCAATCACATATATTCTGGGAGGAACTTAATGACTCTCTGAACAGCAAAATGAATTACCTGGTACAATTTATATCCCTTGACCTGATACGTTATAACAACAGGAAGAGAGCATCTCACAATTTCTGGGGTATAAATTGAGTCACAGAGCCACATTTCAAATTCTGTAACATCCATTAGTAGTTTGGGGAGGGGGCCCTATCCAGTACTGGCTGTAAAATCTATTTTTAATCTTGCCTTCCCCCTCCCAAAGTTTGACAAAACAGTTGGAAGTTGTTAGCAAATCGACTAATCGAATAGGGAGTGGAAAATGTGATTCCCAGAGCTAGTTAATTAAATAAGAGTTAGCAGTCTTTAGAAGCACCATACCTCGTAACCCAAATTCTCCAAGCACTCCTAGAGAACAGGAGTTATTTCAGTACAGCTCCGAAAATTCATTCGTTAAGTATTTGAAATTCCCAATTAAGAAACCCAAGTCATCTCTAAACTTTGGAAATCATAGAAAATATTTCTCAGAAATATGAAATATAAGAAATGTAAGTAGGATATATTCATCAAACCAATTTCTATACACTCCTTATGCTGGCACACACATACAATACATCCAATTTGTGCATCTCAACTTGAACCATGCAGGTACTGATTGTTTATTCCTGCCAACACAGTGACTGAAAACTGCTGTGGCTGCTAAGATCCTAACCGAAGCAGTCATTTCACAAGATTTATTTTTAAATATCATGGAGACTGAATGTTTTAACTGATTCCCTCTAATTTCAGATTTTACATGGCTGACTTTTATTCTGTTATTTTTGTTGTTGTTGTTGTTTGCTAAAACAGATCACACTGCGTGACAAGCAGTAACTTAAGGGTGAGGTGGAATATGTAAGGAGAGGTATTTATGGAGATCAGGGAAGAGATTAGCCAAGCAATACAGAACTCACTCCGGAAAAGGAAAGGATGTGAGTAACACGCAACTTCAAGTTTACTTGTTCAGGACTACCGGAAAGCTAGAGAAACACTTTCTTGTAAAAGTTCCTACTTCCAAAAGTGTATAAGCTGCAAACAGACTGTAAAATGGATGAAATAGATGTGGACAGTCTCATGTCAAATTCCAAGGAGTGTCAGCGTTTGGGAAGTTTACAAGTCATGGCTTTTCAGAATGGTTTAGAAATTGCAACATGATGTTTCTCTTTGTGTTACTTGGTACCTGAGTAACTTGAATAATTTTGTTGATTAATATGTTTGTTGATATTTGTTTCATGAGTGTAGCAGAAAATCCCCACTGTAAAGATTTATACCTAAGTTTGGCAGCCTTCTTTACGGGGTTGTTTTTGGTCATCTTAGTGGCTGAGGTTTTATTTTTCTGGATGCTTTTAACTGTGATCGGCGGTGAACTTGTCAATAGTGACTCCATCTCCATGACTTTCACAGAGAGCGTGTCTTCCAATCAGTCATGGAGAACTTGCCTTATAAAGCTGTTATTGTCAGGAACAGAGAGTGTATCCTTTTGTCAGGTGCAGTCATTATTAAAGTATCCCTCTTTCAAAAGCCAGGCTCCGAGTCCTGCTGTGCTTGATTTCAGAAATCCAAGTCCATTAAAGTCCAATAAATTCTCAAGTAGCACTGCCTGCCCTTTCATTAATATACATATATATGGTATAAGTTATAAGTTCTACTGTACAGGTAAACTATATGTATTTTGGTGTACATATGTAACAGTTAAATCACAATATTTATCTTGCAACATGACTTTTATTTTAAATGAAGATGTGATCAATCTCCATTGTTACTCTAAACAAGGTGGCTAGTTGCCAAGGGGAACCTTATAAGCCAGAAGGCACTAGAATTCTTGTCTGCCAAGGAATCACTTGTTGGCTTTTTAATTTTTTTTCCGGTGGTGTGGTGGGGGAACCTCTTAACTTCACCTCCTTTCAGAATTTACCCTTCCATATTGCCAGTCTGAGAATTGGTCTGGATATGAAAACTTGTCAAAGTATGTGCTGGCCAGGGTTTTCACCAGTGCTTCTGGATTGTGGCCTTTATCTTTCCCTGGCATGTTTATTCTTACTGAACAGAGTGGAACTGCTATATTCTGCAGGTTCGCTAACTTTTCTTGGGATACTACTCCTGATGACTTCATTTCCCTCATGGATAAATTCACAATGCTTGAGATTGGCCCGCGTTGTGTTTCCTCCCTGTGATAAAATGGGGGGCAGCTTATGGGTAGGCGCTAGGCCTCTCATGGAATTCTCTCTCCGAGCACGTGAGGCTGCAGGTTGCTCACCAGGGAGAAGTCCCGCTGCAGTTGACCTATGTATGGGCTTTTGTGATTCAAAACCCATGCTGCTGCACTGAAAACTTCTCTGTTTTACAGAATTGCATTACATTTTTTCCCCAAACTATCCATTTGTACACATACAAGCACGCAAGTGGGAAAGCCTTTCCTTCTTGGTGCTGTGCAGCTTTGTTTTTCTCTGGCTTCCTATGAGTGCCATGTAAATACTACATAAAATTTTGACTTTCCTTTTCCTTCCTTTGAAGATTGACAGGGGCTTCTTTAATTAAACTTGTTCTCTTTCATGTTCTGTATTCAGATATTGAAATACAGTATTTTTACACATTTATAAGATTGTGTTTGCATTTCTTTAATTTATGTTTCTTTTTTCAAAGCATGTAGCCTTGAATGTTTGTTCTACCTTTTTTTTTCCACATCATTACTCTGGCATTGCTTGATGTAAGTTGATTAGCTCCCTCCCCAGTCATGATTGGTAATTAAAATAGGCATTAAAATTAGTCACTTAGCAATTTTGCTGTTCAATTGGCAATTAAATTACTTAATTGCAATTAAAGTCCTAATTTTAATTGGCAAAATGATAGATGTAGATTTAAGATAATATGTATAAATACTTTAATAAGTGTCTATATAAGGATTACTTAATTACTCAACTTCAAGTTTATGCTGTTGACTTCAGAACTTTTAAGTGAGCAATGAAATTTATATTACATCTATTCAAAGGATATGGTAATTAGATTTATTGCTTATCACTACAAGGGTCCCTGCTATAAGTTACTTTTGTAGTGTTAAAATCGTAGGCTTGATAATTGCAGAATTATGATGAGGAAAAGGGCATAGAACTCTTTTTGTAATATAGCAATACTTTCAGTTTCTAATTAAATTAAAGGTTTCTGCCTACCAGTTATTCTGAGGGAAAAAGCAAAAATGACTGTTTGTAAAGGCAAAAGAAAAAGCCAATTGTGATTTACACTTAAAAATTCTTTCAAAGCATGTGTATATTTTCTTCGCTTTAAGAAATGCTAATTTTTGTTACAAATTGTTATTTTCTTCCTCAACAGCTCCAAGTGTCTGATATTCTTTTAGTATACAGCAACATATTTTCAGAGATTTTAATATGTTTTATGAACCTGTACACTCTAATGACTTCTTGTTTATTAAAATTATCAGTGAAATTTTTAATCTAAGGTTATTTTTCTTTGCTTAATAGGACGTAAATTTTAAATGAGAAAATGATTAAGTGATGAACTTAAAGGGAAATATAAGGAGATGGTTACTTGGAGTCAAGTATTAACAAAAAGATGAAAAATTTCAATTCTGCAAAATACTTAGTGAATGGCATGAGGTTTTACCATATGTTCAGTTTTGTAATTTTAATTTACAAGTAGATGCTTCTAGAAAAAAAGAGTGCTGTTTTCTTGTGCACATCTTCATATGCTTCTAAACTGACTTCTAAATCAAAGTGATATAAATTTAAAGTTTTTGCCTGAAGTGCTTTTTGCTGAAATATGGGTTGAGTAAAACCAGATAAAAGCCACAGTTAGCCAAAATTGTATGCAAGCAGCAGCACTGTTCTCTAAACATCCTGTGGGGAGAGCAGCAAGCAATTTGGTTGATTAATATCCTATTAATGCAAATGAAATGACAAAAGCAAAATACCCCAAATCCCTCAATGTTAGAAACTGATTTTATATTTTCAGATACAGGTTTTTTTTTCAAAGTTGCCATTTAATTTTCTTCACTGTTGTAAAACTGTGTGCTAAGTGACAACAAACGCCATGAATTTAATTTGCGTGATATACACAAAAATAATGAAGCATACCTTATTTGACGTTTAAAATGGGTTCCACTAAGTAATTTTCCCATAGAACACCTTCAGGTTGCTTCCGCTCTTGTATAGCATAGCAGGTATGTCTGTCTCACTATACTTGCATTACAAGATCTACTCTACATTCATTTGGAGAGAATGGTGAAATACCTCCCTGGAGGCCCCTTTCCCATGCATTAAAACAGAAAATCCTATGGGATTACACCTATGTTTGCTTTGTAAATTATACCAAAAGCTCAATTTTATTAAGGATAATCTGCTTAGCCATGCATAAAATAAAACACTTTGACTTAGATGTGAGTATATGTATTATTTATATTGACTTTAATGAAAATGTCTTCTATACATGTGCTAGTATGTTCTGTTTAATATTCGTTAATAACATCAGAGACAATATAACATTACCCTCCTAAATGATTTTGGAGATTAGTTAATAAGAGGAATAATTTGTGATTTACTTCAGCTTCAGGAGAGGAATCTACTTGTGGCTAGGACCAATTTTTACTCCTGTTTTAAATTATAAAGAAAATAGGCTCTTTTGTGTGGCAAACAGACACACTTATATATGATAAGAATTTAAAATTATGTCAGAGCTTGTCTGAGAAAAAGAGTCATTTTAATTGAGCAATAAAACATTTGAACTATTCATGTTCAAGACACTTTGAAGGGTTGCTGTCACGCAAAGACAGAATTTCAGTTTTAGCCTAAAGCATTGGTTTAACATTTTCTGAAGCGTTGTTCAGTTCTACATTTTGATTCCATTATATGTATAATTAAACCTCTATGCACAAAAGCATTCTCTTATGTACTAGCAAATACACCCACAGGAATCCTCCTCTAAACTATAATTTATTTAAACATGTAATCAGGGAATTTTAAAACATGCTTTCCTTTTTCCAGACTATATGCCAATCTGAGCTGCTTGGTGATAAAATAGAGATTTTTAATACCAGTTTGGTCCTCCTCCCCCGCCCTTCCCTCCTCCCCCATGACGGAACAGTGAGTTAAACGTGGGCAGGAGGAAATAAAATCTATTGTGAACATAATCCCACGTGTTAAACGGTTTCGCTTTTGGAGCAAACATAAGGAAAACAAAGATCTGTAAGTTACTTATGAATTCCAGCACAATATGAATATTTGGGCCTGCAGCCTTCTCTCTTTGGGCTTAGCCTCCCAAGTAAATAGCTGCTGCGCGCTCGTGTGTGTGTGTGTGTGTGTGTGTGTGTGTGAGAGAGAGAGAGAGAGAGAGAGTGAGAGAGCGAGAGAGAGCGCTGTCCTCTCTCGAACGCAGTGGAGCCGGGCCCCCTACTGTCAGGATCCGTCCATTACAGACGTCGGCCTCGGTCCCAGCACCAAAGCAGGCTGAGTGCGATCCTCCTTATAGTTTGCAATGTGTATGCTGGGCCCTTTCCGCCCCGGGCCCATCCGTGTGCCAACCCAAGAAGCATCTCACCCAAGGATTGATCTGAGCGAGCGTTATCAGTCTTCCAATGTGCCGTCCTACGAAATGGTGACGTTTCGAAATAGGAATTAAAAGAGAAGAACTCTTAGATGGGTGGAAGATTGGGAGGGGGAGCCTCCGGCCCCTTCCTCGCATGTACAGGTACTGTGTAATTACCAGTTCCCAGTAGTAGTGACTGAGTCCGCCGCGGTGGAAACTGCCCTGGGGTCTCCTGTGCCTTAGGACTGGAGCAGCTGAGACTCTGCCATCCAGTAGCCACACTGCCAGCTCACTGTTCCAGCACAGCACCCTCGCTGCCCCTCTCTCCCCTGCCCCATGTGGCACTTCCACTGGGAGCACACTTCTGAGCACTCCAGGACACCTTCTGCTCCGTGGCAGAAAGCTGCTCACGTTGTCCCCAGACTCAACCTTGCTCACAGGCATTCTGTGTGCTCGCTTGCTTTTTGTAATGGCAACGAGAGTGACCAAGAGTATGGAGGGGCCGAGCCTCCTTAGACTTGAGTATTTGTTGTGAGTACACCCTCCAAAGTTCTCCCAACCACGCTCTCCTAAGATGCTCTTAAATAATAATGACAGCCACCCCCCAGCGTGGCTGCGCTGGAGTTTCTGACTGCCTGAAAATAGCCGCTGGGAGCCTGGCCCACCGCGGGGATCCAGGAAGGCTCCCCCGTGGCCGCGCCCTGCTCCGTCGCGGAAAGGGGAGGGAATTTGGGAGGGCTGGAGTTGCTATTTTGGGCCCAGCCTGGCCGGTGCGTCAAAGCCTGCGCCCCTGCGTCACCACCACCCCCACCCCCTTCCTTCTCCCCGGCTCTCCAAACTCTCACTTTTTCCCTTTCGTTCGCGTGGAATCGCTTCTGCCCACAGGGCGCTGACGCTACCGAGCTCATGCTAATAAGCTATTCTACGCTCTCACCCCCTACTCATACACCCTCAGCCGGCACCACAGCATCTCCCACCCCAACCCCACTTCCTGGTTTTTAAGATTTATTTATTTATTTATTTATTTATTTATTTATTTATTTATTTATTTATTTATTTATTGTTTCTCGCGCCCGCTTGGGTACCACCGAGTTGCAGCGGGGGTGGCGGCGGCGGCAATAGCCGCAACATCGGGGGGAAACTTAAGGTAGTCACGTAGGTTTCCTCCAGGCTGCAGCGCCGACGAGCTCGCGGCTTCCCAGGGCAGCCGCAGGGCACCTCCTGGCAACGCCTCTCCGAGCTGCCCCGGAGCGGGGGTGGAGAGCAGGGTAGAGCTGCTGAGTGTCCCTGCCCCCTCGGCTCCTCCGGAGTGCACCAGGAGGGGAGCGAGGAGCAAGCCCCCTCCCCCCGCCCTCCGGCAGCCTGGAAATGAGCCACGCTGAGGGAGGAGAAGCGGTTGCGGCGCTTGCCCAAGGGTGGGAAAGGGGGGTGACTCTAGATTCTCGGTCCCAGCTTTCCAATCTCTCCCAGTCCCAGAAGGAGAAGCCCTTGAGAGGCCCTCCCAGATCAGGCTGGAGGGGGAGGGGATCCATGGCGCGGAGGGAGGGTGGTCTCAGACCCACAGAAGAGACGTTTGCTTGACTAGGAAACTCCTGGCATCCTCTGTGTGGCAGGCTGACTGGCTTTGCAAAGCGGAGTCGGCTGCGACTCCAACGACCGCAGGAGCGGGACAAAGCTGGAGGCGCGCGCCCCTTGCTCGGCGCACACACTGCACTCGCCTGCCCGCTCCCGCCTCTGCCCGGCGCCGACCCCTCCTGGTCCCCCCCCCCCCACCCCCAGGCTCTTATTTCAGAGAAAGGTCGCTGTGCTTCCCTAAAGCGGTGGGAGGCGTTTGGGTAGGCAGGAACCCGGGAGTGAGGGCAGGTTTGCGAGTTGGCAGGAGGTAGAATCAGGGCACTTCTCTGCAGAAGGCACCCACCTGTTGCCTGCATCTCGTTCGCATTGTCTGCAGAAGCATAGCCGGGCATCACTTAGCCCTTTTAGGGGTCCCTGAAAGGGCGGGTCAATGTCTCCACCCTCCCCTCCCTCTCTAAAACTCTGCAAATAAAAAAAGGGAAGAGAAAAATATCCGTGTCCCCCTCTCCCCGCTCCCTCCGTGTTCCCACCCGTTCCCCTCTCATCCAGAGCCAATACTAAGAGAGTGTGTGTGTATGGGGGGTGGGGGGGGACTTGCATCAGGCTGGGGAAAGCCCATCCCAACTTCTTGAGCTCTCCTGAGCGTCTCTGGTCCCAGGAGGTCTGCGTGCGCTTCGGTTGACGAGGGTGGTGGTGTTGACGAGGGTGGGTGGGTGAATGAGGTTAGGGCGCTGCAAGGCACTCCCGTCCCGTTTAGCACCAGGTGTGGTTACCTGCCCACGCTAGCGTTCCCTTTCGCCCCTGCTTTTTTTGCACCCTCCCCACGTGTGAACGGCGGAGTGGCCGCGAGGGCGCGGGGGCTGGTAGGGTCGGGGGGACGGAGCACTGGAGCGGCACTGCGGGCTGTAAGGACTTGAGAGGTCACACCTCTTTCGGAAAAAAAAAAAAAATCAAGCAGGCTACCAAGGTGAACACGAAATAGTTCCCACCTTAAAATCGGTCCTGCTCGTGACGTCAGGTCGGAAATATACCAAAGCGAGCGCGGGCCAGCAGTCCGGGGAGCGCGGCGGCGCGCCGATTGGGCGGCGGGTGGCTGACGCGCGCTGACGCGCGGAGACTTTAGGTGCATGTTGGCAGCGGCAGCGCGAGCCACATAAACAAAGGCACATTGGCGGCCAGGACCAGTCCGCCCGGCGGCTCGCGCTCGGCTCCGCGGTCCCGCTCGCCTGCCCAGCCGGCCGCCAGCCCAGCCGGCCGCCTGCCCCTGCTCCCTCCCCGCTCGCGCTGCCTCCACTCCCTTCCCCACCCCCCGCGCGCCCACCCCTCCCGGACGCCGGCAGCCGCGCTCCCACTGGGAACTGCACTTGGTCAGAGTTGAATGAATGAACAGAGACGCGGGGAACTCCTGAGTGAGTAGGCTACAGCCCGTGTGGCTCGCCTTCTTTTCTTCTTTGCACGTCGCCTGTTGTGTTCGCTGACGCGGGCTGCGTTGTCTGGAAGTAGGCGCCGGGGCTCCCAGAGCGAGTGGGACCAGAAGATGGGGAGTGGGTAACGCAAGGTTACTGGGGCGGGACTCGGGGGACGGGGGCGGGCATTTGTCCGAACTCCGGGCTCTGGCACCGAGAAGGGGAGTTGGCTTCCAACAGAGCTTTCCAGGCTCCTCATTGGTGGACGTGGAAGGGAGGCTTCCACGGTTTGGGGAGCTGCGGACTTGCCCCGCGGAAATGTGCGCTAAGTTTGCTCTCAGCGCGGAATTGATTGCGGCCTTTGCACCCGGAGATTCCACGTCTGGCGTATCCGAGGGAAGCTGCCGGCAAATTGACAGGGGGAGAAAGTTCTTCGGTGTACTCGTTGCTTGGGAACTGTGTCACCGCGGCTAGGCAGGGAGCGTGCCGAGGTTTCCCGGGTATTGTCGAGTCAAGGGTAATGTTGATACAATGTTCTCTTACAAAGTTGCCTGCAGTTTCTGGGTTTTTAAAATATGCCGTTCTTAAGGTGTGTGTGTGTGTGTGTGTGTGTGTGTGTGTGTGTGTGTGTGTGTGTTACAGACCTGTGACACTACCGGGGAGCTGATAGAGAGTCTGTGAGGACTGGGGCATCCAGAGTCTCCTTTCTGCTTCCTTTGGTTAAACTCTCCCACCTACCTCCTGAAGAAGGAATCTGGGGAAAAGGGAGAAAAAACAGAAGGGGTGCATGTTTGGCTTTTCTTTTTTACTAGTGTCAAGATTATCTTTACTCTAAAACAAGTTCCAAAGTGGGAACATCTGAAATTTATTAGGTCACAAGAATGCCTTGTTCCAGCAAGTGGGCAGATTGTGGAAGGCGTTTAGGGGGAGGTGTTCTGCCTGCTCTGCTGCGACCCACCTCAACAGTGGTGCCAGCACACCCCGGAAAGCAGTTTCACTCCCTCCGCAACTGACCCAGCATGCTCCTAGAACAGCACAGTACACCCTCACCCCCATTCATTGACCACCAAAGCTGTGGGGAATCAAGTTTTCTGGAAAAGCGAACCCCAGTTCACCTGTATCCCCCACCCTGGGGTTGTGTCAAAAGCAGTCAAGATGCAGAAACTCCCCTCCCAGTTGCCTTCCCCAGGCCTGGCTGGCGTTTCCTGAGAGGGGAGGTTGCTTTCTCTCATATACTTGACCTGTACTAACTCCTTCCCCCAAGCCCCCAAAAGGCAACACAGTCACAGGGGAGGGGCTTGTGGGAACCAAGAAAAGGTTCCAAGGTTCTCTGTCTTCTCTTAGAATCTAGACCCTCTCTCTCCAAGCGCGCGCACATACACAGACACAAACACACGAGCAAAAGGACCGATTAATCATAAGTTTTAAGTAAGCCCATGGAATACCTTCCCTGCTTCAAGATTCTTTCTCTGTGGAGACTTTGGGTGGTACACGGTGGTATTTTCTGTCGTTTCCAGCCATCTTGTCTACACGTTTATCTTAATTGCTTTGTGGTTATGGCTGTGTACTCATTTCCAGTGAGGCGCAGGGGGAGGGTGTGGAGGGGTGTGAAGGGCCGGCCCGGTGGATCTACAAACAAACCTCTGTTGGGGAAGAGACCCTGAAACCTCCTGTCTCTGTGTTTCAGGGAGGAGATCAGCTGGGCCGAATCCCCCACTGCTTTTCTAAAAATCCTGGGAACTTTGTCCTTCTGTGAATTACGACACTGTCCACCTTTAATTTCCTCGAAAACGCCTGTAACTCCTCTGAAGGTTAGTGCAACTTCATTTCTTTCGCACTTTCTCCCGAGTTCCCTCCACACTAACAAGCAGGGCGACTCAATGGGCTCAGGCCAACCTTGTAACTTAAGGTATGTCCGACTCATCCCCATCGCCTTCGGGAACAACTTTCTCATTGTGCAATTCATTTCCAGACCAGCCTTTCCAGCTCGAGCTTGCTGGATGGACACTCGTTTCGGAAAAGAAGCCCACTAGGGTGGGTTTGGCTGGGGGAAGGACGGGGAGGGGGAGGCGTTGGGAAACCTTGGGGACAAGAGACCCTCCGCAGCTTTCTCACTCAGGGTCTCTGTCCCCACACTGAAGTCCGCCCGCCCGCTGCACGCACTGTCGCGCCCCTACTCCTTGCTGGACCACCGTGGGCTGCCGGTGTAGCTCCAGGTGTCCCCGAGCCCGGGAGAAAAGTGTTCAGTTGACCAGGCTGAGTGTATATTACCCTGTTTCATTTCCAGCCATGCCTTGTGTTCAGGCGCAATATGGGTCCTCGCCTCAAGGAGCCAGCCCTGCTTCTCAGAGCTACAGTTACCACTCTTCGGGAGAATACAGCTCCGATTTCTTAACTCCAGAGTTTGTCAAGTTTAGCATGGACCTCACCAACACTGAAATTACTGCCACCACTTCTCTCCCCAGCTTCAGTACCTTTATGGACAACTACAGCACAGGCTACGACGTCAAGCCACCTTGCTTGTACCAAATGCCCCTCTCCGGACAGCAGTCCTCCATTAAAGTAGAAGACATTCCGATGCACAACTACCAGCAGCACAGCCACCTGCCCCCCCAATCCGAGGAGATGATGCCGCACTCCGGGTCGGTTTACTACAAGCCATCCTCGCCCCCGACGCCCACCACCCCGGGCTTCCAGGTGCAGCACAGCCCCATGTGGGACGACCCGGGGTCGCTGCACAACTTCCACCAGAACTACGTGGCCACAACGCACATGATCGAACAGAGGAAGACGCCAGTCTCCCGTCTCTCCCTCTTCTCCTTTAAGCAGTCACCCCCTGGCACTCCAGTGTCTAGCTGCCAAATGCGCTTCGACGGGCCCCTGCACGTCCCCATGAACCCAGAACCCGCGGGCAGCCACCACGTGGTGGACGGGCAGACCTTTGCCGTGCCCAACCCCATCCGCAAGCCCGCGTCCATGGGCTTCCCGGGCCTGCAGATCGGCCACGCATCGCAGCTGCTGGACACCCAGGTGCCCTCACCGCCGTCGCGGGGCTCCCCCTCCAACGAGGGGCTGTGCGCGGTGTGCGGCGACAATGCGGCCTGCCAGCACTACGGCGTGCGCACCTGCGAGGGCTGCAAAGGCTTCTTTAAGGTGAGCCTGGGTGTGGTCCGTGGAGGCAGAAAGGTGCTCGGAACCGCGGTTTCCCAGATTGCGCCCCTCGGGCTTCTGGAGGGAAGCCCAGTCGGTGTCCTTCTCCGATATCCGGTGCTCCCCTGCAGCGCCCCCACAACCCAGCCCCGCCAAGGGGCCACGCAGGGCGTTTCGGGGAGTTTGAGACCAGGAAGGAACTGACAGGAGACCCGAGGGCGCAGCGCCCTGCACGCAGCGGACGCGGCAGGACCCCGCCCGAAGTTGCAGTAGCCCGAGTTGGAAGAGGGTCATTTGCATGAGCTAGGAGCTGTCTGCCCTGCTCAGATTGAAATTGGTTAGGACAGAGAACCGTGTCTGAGCTAACCAAGTGGAACAGAATTCCCTATGGTCAAATTAAGTGATCTCTTTATTTCGCCATCCTGATTGAATAATCTTATCATTTTAAATAGAGAAGGTCTCCAAGGAATGTAAATAATATGAATGCCCACGGATTTGTATTTACCGAGCGTCTCCGTCTCCTTCTCTTGGCATATAAAACACAGCAAGGAGCGGCAAGGTTAGCTCAAATGTTAACGCTATCAATTTTCTCCTGTTAAATGCCCTGGGGGAGAAAAAAAAAAGAAAAGAAAGTGAAAGAAAAAGAAAAAAAGAAAACGTGTGTGTGTTTGTGTGTGTGTTTGGGGGCGAAAACATTCAGATCCAAGTCATTCTGAAATTGTTCTTCGGATGGCTGGATTTTCGACAGAAAAAAAATATTAACAATTCTCGGGGCCCACTTTGTCTCCTTTTGCAGCGCACCGTGCAAAAAAATGCGAAATACGTGTGTTTAGCAAATAAAAACTGCCCGGTGGATAAGCGCCGCCGCAATCGCTGTCAGTACTGTCGGTTTCAGAAGTGCCTGGCTGTTGGGATGGTTAAAGAAGGTAGGTCGGGGCAATCTGTGCCCTGGACCTGGGGACTCCTGTGCAGCTCCTTGCCGCCTCTCAGGAACCAGGGGTCTCTGGGCCCTTCCTCCCCACTCCCTTGCCTACTGGCGGGGCCTCCCCAGCGAAAGCCACCAGGCCCTTTATAAGACCCCAGTGGAGGAAACACCCACCCACCCCCCCTTTAAAACCTCTTTTTTAATGCTGCTTTTCAGTAAAGGCTTCAGCAGTCGGTGAAGCCTGGAGCGGCTGGTGGACTCCGGCTGCGGCCTTCCGGAGGGCGGGGACAGGGCGGCTTGCAGGGGTCCCGAGGCGCCGCACTAAAGAAGCTGTTCCTTTACAGTGGTTCGCACTGACAGTTTAAAAGGCCGGAGAGGTCGTTTACCCTCAAAACCGAAGAGCCCACAGGAGCCCTCTCCCCCTTCGCCCCCGGTGAGTCTGATCAGCGCCCTGGTCAGGGCCCACGTCGACTCGAACCCGGCTATGACCAGCCTGGACTATTCCAGGGTAAGAAGCTGGCTGGGGAGGGGCAGTCATGTGAACAAATCGACAGATGGACAGGACCCCTGCCCCACACCCAGCCATGGTCCCTAGACGCAAGGGCGTTATGCGCCTCGCAGTCCTGGGCCTGGCCTCAGAAGACAGACCTCAGACAGCAGCAGTAGCAGTTCCAGGGAGTGGAGATGGAAGGACAGGGCAGGGGAGCGGAAGACAAGATACCGTGGTCCCTCTACTAATACCCTCTCTGCCTTAGCGAGACACACACCTACACCTGTCCTGCCAAGGGCGGTGCACCCCCCCTGGCCTGACACCCCCCCCCCCCCCTTTTCTTGTAGAGATCCTGTGACCCTCCTCCTTTCTGGTACTACCCCCATCAAGGATGGGGGGCTGCTTCCCGAGGTTCAAGGAGGGGGTGTCAGGAATGGCAGTGGGGTGGGGGTGAGGGGGTCAAGTGGTCAGATTTCTCTTTTCCTCCAGCTGTGAAAAATACTTGTGCTGTAATTGGCGGACATATGTTGGGCAAACCTGGAAGCGGCTGCAGTGTTATTAAGATTTGTATAGGGTGTCTCAGCTGAGACTCACTCTGGGACTAGCATGAATACTAACGTGTCAATTGTTTCGAGGAGATAAGAGTGAACATTTCCCAAAGCTGGATAGCACTGTATTTTGTCTGTATGGAAATGGCAATTTACATATTTAAAGCAACGACCTCATAGCACCATCCCTAATTGAATTAATTGCCCCGGAACATCTAATTTCCTTACTGGTCAGAGAGAGGTTTAATTGTTATAAAAACCTGGCTCCCCTACTAGAAACGGGGTTAGCAATTTCACGGGTTATATATTTTAGAGAACCTCATTAAGTGCTTTTTAAAATGAAATTCCAGTTCCAGGCGAACCCTGACTATCAGATGAGTGGAGATGACACCCAGCATATCCAGCAATTCTATGATCTCCTGACTGGCTCCATGGAGATCATCAGGGGCTGGGCAGAGAAGATCCCCAGCTTTGCCGACCTGCCCAAAGCCGACCAGGACCTGCTTTTTGAGTCAGCTTTCTTAGAATTGTTTGTCCTGCGATTAGCATACAGGTAAATGGTGGAGGAGAATACCGTGGGTGGCTGGGACAGGAGTCCAGGAAGAGAGAGGGAGGATGTGGGAAGTTAGAGGACAGAATGGGGAATGGAAGAGGGGACAGGAAAGAAGTCAGAAAGCATTAGGAGGAGATGGACAGGAGCAGAAACTGTGGGTGAACGGAACGGAGGTGGGATAGGGGGCGTTCCTGATGGTTATGAAATTAAACCCTTTCAAGGTCCACTGATCTACATTTTATTAACTCTTCAGTAATTAGGTGCCTCTTAAATCCCTCATTTATTGCTCTTCAAGTAATTAGTTGTTTAGCTTTTCTCTCTCTCTTTTTCTCCCCCCCCTCTCTTTGGTATTAATTGCAGGTCCAACCCAGTGGAGGGTAAACTCATCTTTTGCAATGGGGTGGTCTTGCACAGGTTGCAATGCGTGCGTGGCTTTGGGGAATGGATTGATTCCATTGTTGAATTCTCCTCCAACTTGCAGAATATGAACATCGACATTTCTGCCTTCTCCTGTATTGCTGCCCTGGCTATGGTCACAGGTCAGTACTGCAGGCACAGCGCACCTCCCCTCCACAATTGCCCAGTGGGATTTGTCCTGGCTTTCCCTAGTCACAGTTCCTCTCTGGTTCTGCCTGGTAACTAACTACCTTGTGCATTCTTCTTTTGTTTCCCACTGTGTTTTCTGCAGAGCGACATGGGCTCAAGGAACCCAAGAGAGTTGAAGAACTGCAAAACAAAATTGTAAATTGTCTCAAAGACCATGTGACTTTCAATAATGGGGGGTTGAACCGCCCCAACTATTTGTCCAAACTGTTGGGGAAGCTCCCAGAACTCCGTACCCTTTGCACACAGGGGCTCCAGCGCATTTTCTACCTGAAATTGGAAGACTTGGTACCACCGCCAGCAATAATTGACAAACTTTTCCTGGACACTTTACCTTTCTAAGCTCTCATCCCATGCACTTCAAAAGAACTGGAAGCAAAACTAAAACTGCCCACAGGGGGGGTAGACCCCACAGGTGTCTCAGCTCCAACTGTGTCCCCCTTCTGTAATCCCCATCCCAACCCAGCCCAGCCCCTGATCCCTAAAGAAAACAAACAGCAAACAAACAAACAAACAAAAACTGTTCCTATTTCCTAACCTGCAGGCAGAACCAGAAAGGGCATTTTTGGCTCCGGGACATCCTGGATTTAGAACATGGACTGCATACAATACAGTGGTATAAACTTTTTATTATAAATTTACAAATCAGTTTACTCTTCAGAAGGGAGTTTGCTAATGTATGATTAGAAGTGTTTGGCCATGATTGATTGTTGCAGTTTAGACAAATCACATGTACACACACAATAACAACAACAACAACAACAACACACACACACACACACACACACACACACACACACACACACTCCTTATGGGAACCCATGAACAATTGCCCTTTAAAAAGACTTTGAATTTTTCTGCTGTAATGAAAGCTGTAATATATAGTAAAACTAAATGTTGCGTGGGTGGCATGAGTTGAAGATGGCAAAGGCTTGTAAATTTACCCAATGCAGTTTGGCTTTTTAAATTATTTTGTGCCTATTTATGAATAAATATTGCAAATTCTAAAAGATACGTGTGTTTGCAAAAAAAAAAAGAAAAATAAATAACTACATAAAAAGGGACAAGCATGTTGATTCTAGGTTGAAAATGTTATAGGCACTTGCTATTCCAGTAATGTCTATATTATATAAATAGTACTTCAGACACTATGTAGTCTGTTAGATTTTATAAAGATTGGTAGTTATCTGAGCTTCAACATTTTCTCAATTGTAAAATAGGCGGGCACAAGTATTACACATTGGAAAATCCTAACAAAAGGGACACATAGTGTTTGTAACACCGTCCAACATTCCTTGTTTGTAAGTGTTGTATGTACTGTTGATGTTGATAAAAGAAAGTTTATATCTTGATTATTTTGTTGTCTAAAGCTAAACAAAATTTGCATGCAGCAGCTTTTGACCGTTTCCAGAGTGCTTATACTATACATAACTCCCTGGAAATTACTGAGCACTTTGAATTTTTGTTTTGTTTTTGTTTTTTTTAAGGTCTAAAATTGTCAGTTAATATATTATTTTATGTTTGAGTAAGGATTTTAATATTGCCATATTCTGTAGTATTTTTCTTTGTATATTTCTAGTATGGCACATGATAGGAGTCACTGCCTTTTTTTCTATGGTGTATGACAGTTTAGAGATGCTGATTTTTTTTTCCCCTAAGAAATTCTTTCTTTGAGAAAGACAATTTTAATGTTTACAACAATAAACCATGTAAATGAAGAGAATTTTGTCTTTTTTCTGGGCCAGGAAAACAGGATGACTAAACAGCACTGTATAATACAATGAGTAGGCGACTGATTTGGGATAGGACATCTGACTTTCAAGTTAAATCTGTTCTGGCACAAGAAACTGGGGGTTAAATGTACAATCCAGTGAATTCAGTACAATAATGTTTTCTTGACTAGAATTTTCCAGTGTGGTAACCTGCATTTAGGAGAACCAACTTAGAATACCTCACTCTTCTGGTGACTTTTGTGGTAAGTTCAAGCATTCAGAAAAGTTGTTCAGGTGACCAAAAATCCTTTTGAAGTGATAAAAGTTCAACCGTTCACCTGTTGTCTTTGACAGGGTAAAAGCATCTTTTTAAAAGTCTCCACGAATTAACACAGATGTAAAAAGTGTTACACATCATCTCCGATTTTCCAGTTCCTTCCACATCAAACTGTTGGCAGGCACTTTGGGTCTTGGTTCAGTCTGGCAGAGTGGAACACAATCAAAGCATTTCTTGCGACTTTTTCTTTTCCTCCTTCAGTGAAGAGGTGTAGTTTGCATTTTCAAATAAAAGTTATGCAGTATGTGTTTCTCCGATGAATAATAAAAGATGCTCTTGTGAAGTCCTGGGCCTGACAAGAGTAGGTTATAAACAGGGCCTTCTGGATTGCACTCAGCCCCAACTTTTCAGCCCTGACAGCAAACGGGTGCTCTCCCGGTGTTTTAGGCCCTGGACTTCCCTAAGTACCCCAGTCTTCCCGCTGTGAGGTCCAGCTGGTTTCCCCAAGGACTGCGCGCGTGACTTCGGAGCCAGAGGTGAGGCGCGTCTCCAGCGCTCACCCTGGTGAATGACAATTGGCCTCCGGGGGGTCACTGAAATTTACAAAGCACGTTATTTTTCAAATGCAGTTAGGACGGTAAATTGCCACAAAAGCTCTCAGGTTGTTGCCTTTCTTTGCTTTTCCTCTCCCTCTTTGGAAAAGAAGTGTTTTTGCAAGTTTGCAGTGAGAGTTCTCCGTGGTCATTTAAGGTAATTTTTCCGCATCGACTTTCTCCTAGGCAATCTGAGGGGTAGAGGAGGGTGATCACCTAAGAGTTCAAAAATAATGGGATGCCCGATTTCCTCAATGGACGAGGCTTACCATTTCATTTTATTTCACATCTTAGGCCAGACCAAAGCTGCAGGGTAACAATGGGAGTAGGAGAAGGCTCTTCAGAAATGCTGGGAGTCTGCAGAGCCGCCCACGGCATCTCCCAGGTGCCCGCAGCCCCGAGACAGTTACATTCGGTCGCAGAACTCCCAGAGTTGAACCTAAGCAACGAACTCTGTTGAGGGTTGCCCCCCTAAGGGAGCTGCGGCTTGTCAGCCACGGCCAACGGGGCCAACGGGGCGTCAACGCGCGCCCCTGGAGAATTTGGGGATGAAGTCAGAGAGGGGTGAGGGTCTCCTGCTTTCAAGTGCACGTCGTACCTGTGTGGCTTACACCCACTTGTGCCTTCGAAATTGCAAAGGGGCTAGAGTCGCTTTTCCAGCTGCTGGCGGTTTGTCGAGTGGTGTAGATAAAAGTCGCGCGCGCAACTCTAGGTCTTCAGAGGCTCTCAGCGCAATACCCTTCCTGTCCTGGTCTGTCCAGGCGTACAGCTCAGGAAGGGCAACAGACAAGCAGCACTGTCAAAGTCAGAGGATATGAGCAGCTGTCTGGGAAAGGGACTCAAACTTCGTCTTCGCGGGGGCTTCGTTTCACCCTCCCCCCGCCTTACCCTACAGCGGCTTAAAAAGTTCGGTTACTTTATTAATTGCTTCCACGATGGGAGATAAACAATCAGAGTTCGGGAGTCAGGATTAGGCACTTCTCAACTCCAAGAGGAGGTCTACTTTTAAGTAGTCGCCGTCCAGGTGCGCATTGAGTGACTGCCTAGAAGGCTTTAATTTTGTGCAGATGCTGTAGGAGCAGAGCTTCGGTGCAGCAGCTGTTGGCTGGGTTGCGCTTTCCAACTGTGGCTGACCCCTGCAGCCCCGCTCTGGGTATCTTGTCATGTGGGGCCTTGCTCCGACCTGGCGATTTCAGAGAGCGGGAGTCAGAGCCACAGTTTGTCCTGACAATGGGGGAGAAAGGAATCTTTTTAGAAGCTGACAGCACCCTACGGTGACAGCGGCACCCAACGACTCAATAGTATATGCTTCTTGTTGGTACCCAGTTCCATTCCTAGAGTTTGGATGCCCTCTTTCCTAAAAAAAAAAAAAAAAAAAAAAAAAAAAAATCGGGCCCAATTCGTAGGGACCATGAGCCCCACAAGTATATACAGCTATTCTGGCCAATTTAAGAACGTGGCTTGATTGACCATTTCACCTTGTCTTGGGAGTCTCTGGGCTTCGTTAGGGTCAGTGTCTGCAAGGACAAAATCCCAGGATCCAATCAGATTGAAACAGGCATTGGTACACGAGAAATACTTTCAAGAAACAAACAGGTCCAAGAGGGCAAAGTTTGATTTTATTTCACGGCAATGTTCGGATCACGATTTTCCCGCACAGTGTGTATTTTCACCTTGCCGTGTCCCTCAAGGGGAAGCCACCCCGGGGCACATCTGAGTCGCGCACCTCGCGCATCAGTGCTGCCTGAAGTCCCCATCGCGCTCCGCTCACGCGTCCGTTTCCTTGTGCATCCGCCACGCGGCAGCGCCGAGGTGCCTTCGGAGAAAAAGGGCTGGGGGTCCCTTTGGCCGGCCTGGGCTCGCCTGTCTGAATGGGAGAGGCACTTGTCTCTGAAGCCACGAACTCTCGAATTCAGATTTTTTTTTTTTTTTTAAAGGGAGCAGGTTCCCTTCAGGTGGAAGGGCAAGAAAGGGTATGTATTCGCACGCGTGTTAAAACTTTTCTCCTGTATTATTTTGATGGCTGACTAGCTATCTGGGAGTGACTTCAGCACGTTCTCCACCGAAGGGGCTTTTAAAGGTTGAATTTCTTTGTCACCTGCTCCCCGCCCCCCACCCCTTGCGATAGGAACTTTGCTTTGGGGGCGCTCCCCGGAATTTCTCAGCACTCAGACACCTCTCGGGCCAGGGCTTGACTGCATTTTGAAGTTCTGCGGGGTAGCAGCGAGGTTCTGGGTTCCAGCCCAACGCCCCCTCCCCGTAGCTCTTCTCCGTGAATTAGGAAAGCACCTTTGGTTGCAAGAGTCTTCAGGAAATGTTTCGCTTACATCGGTGATTGGACAGAACTGGAATCGGAGCATTCACCACTCATGAAGCGTGACACGGCGTTCAGTTCGGTCTATACTGGCTGCCTTTACTAGTAAAGCCAGATGTGAATTCCCAACAAGTCATTATTTTTAAGGTCTTTAGATTTTATCCTAAAAGAAACGCATGGAAATCCACTACCTTATACATTTGCCTGGAAACCTGCCTTGGATGTTGCACAGCATCATTCAGAGTGCCAAGCCCGCTGCCGTTTAAGCATTTGTCCAGAGCTCAATTTCTGACCATGATTGGGAGTGACTGCTGGGTCCGCAAGGTCTTTCCTCCGATGTGGTGCCTTTTCTTTGGAAAAGTCTGGCTTCCGTCGGTGGGTGTCTAGTGGGGCGAACCGTGCACGAGAAGGTAGGGCCCCACCCTTGCCAAGAGGACTTGGAAAAGAATCTTGCACTTGCTCCCTAAAGGCGGCTAGTGCTCCGGGCCCAGCTCAAAGTGGCCAGGGAACTCCAGAGCGCTGCTCTCTTGCTGAGTTCCCCGCGCCCGGCGCCCTTCCACCAGGCACCTTTTCCTGGCCCTGCCGGTAGTGGAGGCTCCAG